GTGTTCTTATCATCCTAGAGCTAGATATGGTCTACACCTTCTCCTTATGTACTTATCTTTTCTACACCTTTTACTCATGTTCTTATTATCCCGGGGATATTTATCTGTTCTACACCTTCTCCTTATGTTCTTATTATCCCAGAGATATTTATCTGTTCTACACCTTCTCCTTATGTTATTATTATCCCAGAGCTATTTATCTGTTCTACACCTTCTCCTTATTTTCTTATTATCCCAGAGCTGGTTATCTGTCCTACACCTTTTACTTATGTTCTTATTATCCCAGAGCTGGTTATCTGTCCTACACCTTTTACTCATGTTCTTATTATTCCAGAGATATTTATCTGTCCTACACCTTATCCTTATGTTCTTATTATCCCAGAGCTATTCATCAGCTCTGGGATAATTCATCCGTTCTACACCTTCTCCCAATGTTCTTATTATCCCAGAGATTTTTATCTGTCCTACCTTTTACTTATGTTCTTATTATCCCAAGAGCTATTCATCCGTTCTACACCTTCTCCAAATGTTCTTATTATCCCAGAGATATTTATCTGTTCTACACCTTTCCCGTTTCTTTCGTTATTTGATCCCATTTCTCTATAACTATTCATCATTCTACCTTCCTTCCTTCCTCCCTCCCAACCCATCCCTTCTCGTATTACTCAAACATACGCTGAACACACTCAATACACTATACAAGACTCCGGAATCTATTTTTGAACCCCAAGATATATCTCCGGTCCTGCTTCTCCGGCCTAACACATTCTGAAAGCAATCTCCGGGGGCTCGCATAGGTGCAGACCAGGGCTGCGTATTTTTTCCATGGAAAAATGCATCAGGAAAATCCACAATTCTTCTTTCGGATAAGTTGTAGATTTCTGCAGGTTTCAAGGACATGGATTATCTTGGAAGGATGAAGTATCCCTGTTCTAGGTAATGATGCTACTAGCATGCCGGCCAGGTCCATACTGTCTAGATACGACCCAGTCAGACTTGGCACCTAGACCTGAAGGTGAAGTTCACCTACTCCCAAATCCAAGAATCTCTGCCAAGATTGCCAAAATCTGGAGTCTGAGCCAAAAACTCTGTGTTTGGCTCGATTGCCAAGATGTCTACGCTAAGTGAGGGGGAGCGTATGCCCCTCCAGCTCACAACAATCACCGTCGCGGTTCCCTCCCCCCTCTCACCCAACAGCGCCGCCGTACTCAATGTCTCCGGGATGAATATGGTTGGGCAGGGTGGACATGTGACCCCGCTGACCCTACCAGTGACCCAGCAGGAGTGTGGTACCTTTAAATGGAAATATGAGCAGACCAGGACGGAGAAACTAAACTCAACCCTGGTAAGAAAAAAAACAGTGAAAAAAGCAAAAAAGTTTTTAAATCAAAACAAATATTAAATTCAATTGACTTAAAAATCAACGTTTAAGGTCTTATAATGTCATAAAGGGGTTCAGACTTCATATAATGTTAAGGTATTAAGTCTAGAATAGAAAACTCATCCTAATGTCACTTGTGTAAATTGTGGATCAAGTATTCAACAGTATCTTTTGTAGATCTACAAAGATCGGAACTCATGTGTTGATATCGTTAACCTTGAACGCTTCATCTCAATATCCATTGTGAGCACTTTAAAGATAAAGGAAAGAAAATTAGAAAGATAATGAGGATATTGAATAGGAAAGAAGGCTATAGGAGGGAGATGGTTTGTGGGAAGGGAAGAAAAGGGGGGCTGGGGAGGGGAAGGAATAGGTGTAAATTGATAAAGAAAGGTATATAAGTGCGGTACTGTGCACGCTTTAAACTCTATCCCTAGCATCTCAAATCTCAATAAAAAGAGTTTTAAATGCTCATCCTACTCCTAGGTAAAGATATCCATCCTACTCTAGGTGTAGATATCCATCCTATTCTAGGGGTACCTATCCTACTCAAGGTTTATATCCTACTCTTGGTGTAGATACTCATCCTACTCTAGGTGTAGATACTCATCCTACTCTAGTTGTAGTTGATACTCATCCTACTCTAGGTGTAGATACTCATCCTACTCTAGGTATGGATACCCATCCTACTCTAGGTGTAGATATCCATCCCATTCTAAGGGTACCATCCTACTCAAGGTTTATATACTCATTCTACTCTTGGTGTAGATACTCATCCTACTCTAGGTGTAGATTCTCCGTGAAATTCACACGTACTTCAATCCGCCCCGGGATCCAACCAAACTCCAGGTGGTGTTTTCAGTACACGCGTTTATACGGGTTCATTTCACGACTCCTAACTACAATATTAGGGGGGGGGGGGGGGTAAAAAGTTAATCCTCAAATTTAGAGTAGAGCTTGAATTTAAATGAAAAAATTTGAATCCTAATATATTCAAGTAAGTAGAACGTATTCCTATATCTATTAGGTTGATCAAGATTTAAAGTTTTACCAATGTTAAAAAAGAAAAAAACTAACTACCTATAAAACAGTTTATTTATTATTATTTACATTTTTAGAGTCAGTTTATCACTTGAAAACTTTTAAAATTTTTATTAGTTGTATCTCTCATTCTCTCTCTTTGACGCATTTCTCTCTCATTAGAATTTGTTTTTGTTGTTATTTACATTAAAAATTGAAATTTTGCCAAGGAAGTTTAATTTATTGCCAAGTTCACNAAAAAAAAATCCCGCATTTCATAGTCAAGTTACGCTCAGGAATTCCAATAAAAGCTATTTTATAGTGTATTTTTATGTTATAGAGCAAATGACGTGTTTAGTCATAGAGCAGATTGAATATAGAGCAAATGACGTATAGAGCAAATGACGTATAGAGCAAATGACTTGATAGAGCAAATGACCATAGAGCAAATGACCATAGAGCAAATGGAAATAGAGCAGATGTCGTAGCGCCCTGGGATGAAGTATCCCCAGTCCCCACCCCCTACTTCTACTCTATCTAGTAGGTAGAGCTGGGATGAATGAACGTAAACTATAAATGTCTAGGATCCTATTGTCGGTTCAACCCAACCCCATCCTAATCCTTCCCAATTTCCTTCTTATCATTGGAATTCCACATTTCCATTTTCGATGTAGAGTGACGCGGTTTTTTAAAATTTTTTAGCAATAAAATTAACACTTTCTATTTTAACATTCTTTCACGGCTCAATATTTTCCTTGAATTCATTCAAAACAATTTAAAGAACAATGATAACGATAGAAATATTAACTTTGATTTGAATGTTGGAATCTGTTTTAACTTACATTATTTTCAACTTACTTGGGAACCCAGTTTTGCCTGGAAACTAAATTTTCTCTATTTAAGTCAACCTACTCAATTTTAAACAGTTCTACCGAGCTCCCCAATAATATTGAGGCAAATCGGTCAAGGAGTTTCTGAGTTATGATGGGACATACAAACAAATAGACTTATTTTTTTAATATAAAGTTGTTTGAGAAAATTGTCCAACTTTTTGTATCAGATTTGACTTTTGGTTCTAAATCCTGGAATAATGCTTAGATGGATTAGATTAATCCATATTGGGATTAATCCCTCTCGAGAAGTAGCTGTGTATAGAGATGTAGAGGTAGATGTAGCCAATATAGTTTTGCCCTCAGAGTTGGGAACTTTTGAATTAATTAAATCTTCAATATAACTGAGCTGAAAACTCTAGTATTGGATACCATTAATCATAATTGCTAAATCTTGGTATTCACTGTGGACCATTTTTGATTTTCTTCTTCCTCTTCTTTGGATTACGACCAATGTGAGTTATCTCATTGATCGCGGGCAAAATTTCATAATTTCTCGGCTTTGGATTGGCTGTTCGGTTTCTACAATCGAAACTCTGATTGGTTTCATTTAAGATAATTTTTCTGGATATTACTGTAAGGTTAAATTAATCTTAAAATTAATAAAAAATGGAGATCAAGCATTGATCTCGATATTCACAATTCTAAAGTTTACAGCACAGAGATGGAATTTAAGGAATTTGAGCCGCGGTTTAAATCCGCCAAAATCCGCCAAAACCCGGTTTAAATTTAGCGCCGGCTAAAATCTTGAAACATTTGATACAATTTTAAGCGGAACCAACCATATTTAAGCCGCGGCTTAAATTTAAACCGCCGCTCAAATTCATTAAATTCGGCCACTGATCTCTTAATAAAACCATCCAGAAATCGGTTAATCTCTATCTAGAGGAAAGAATGTTTAATTTAATATTAGATGCTTAAATTGATTTTTAAAAATTATTGTTGAGTGTGTTTGTGTGTTTGTGTCTCTAACTGTGTGTGTGTTTGCTTCAATATATCCTTGATAGAGGAAGGAAGGGGTGATCTGTCTCTGTAGGAAAAATGTCCAAATTTTCTTTTTGTCAAGTACTGGACCATTGATCAAGTATCATTATGTATACTTTTCATCACCCCCAGGTAAATTTATTTCAAAAATAGCCCCCCCCCCCTCTTTCTAAAATTAATTATTACCAAATGTGGTTTCTCTTGAGGAGACTTTCGCATTTTCTGTGGAGCAAAATATCTTCATTTCTGGAAACATAAATTTTTATGTTCTTCATGGATTGAGTAGAGATTAGGTTTAGGTTTACTCATGGTTTAGGTTTAGGTTTATTGTTACTTATAGATTTAGGTTTAGGTTTATTGTTACTTATAGGTTTAGGTTTAGGTTTATTCTTACTTATAGATTTAGGTTTAGGGTTGGTTTAGGTTTAGGTTAATCTTAATTCTTGGTTTCTTTACTACTAGCTTGGGAACCCAGCGCTGCCAAGGTTAATGCCGCCGTTTACCCGCACTTGAACGATTTTACCGGGAAACAAAATTTTCGCTATTAAAGTCGAACCATTCCACTTAGTATCTCAAAACCAAGCTAAAAACATTCCCGTGGCTCTCCCGAGCTCCCTCATCAAAATTTTTGGCAAATCCGTCCAGGGGTTCCTGAGTTATGATCAGACAAACAAACAAACAGACACCCAAACAGAGATTACAACTTTATATATATAGATTACTTTTAAGGGTTTGGGCGACTGTTTATTCTTGCTTATTTTTCGTTTAGCTCATGTTTAGATCTTACTTAAAGTCTAATTTTAGGTTCAACTTTACTAAAGAAATTATAAAAGAGAAGAATACAGGAAGAACTACCAGAATTTACAAGGTTTAACACTCTGCTCCGGGTACAGATCTAACCACTGGGGTTTGTTTTCCTTTGCAATTACTCCGTAACGGAATTATTTTGATTATACTCACGAAACTACTCCCGTTCTCATTTCACACATCACTTCCAACCCTGATACTTGAACCCGAACCTTACTCCGGGTCTACATAGAGTAATGGGTACAAATGAGAGTAGGTTAGGATTGAATAGCACATGCATGGATTCAGACATTCGTCCAAATTGCTACCATTCACATTCTTTACAGCTCATTTTTCAGAAACAGTTGCTCGAAATTATAATTCAATACTTACACATTAACCATAATGGTTTATGTAATATTTACACATTCTTTTAAGGGAACGTAAACGCTATTTATAGTGACGCTCCGTGGCTCCATGCAAAGATTAAAATGCCCGATTTACAACGGTACCATCAGAACCTTAATCTGGTGAGAAATCTGGAAAATATTGTAGTTTTCCTGACTCCCAATTATTTGTGTCTTTTTTATAACACACATATTTATTTCTCTTTACATTTCTTCATTTCTTTTACTTTTATCCCTATGTATATTATCTTATATTTTAGGATGAGTTTCATCCGTTTATAGAAGCTCTTCTTCCTCACGTGAAAACATTTGCATACACCTGGTTCAACCTCCAGGCTGCTAAGAGGAAGTACTTCAAGAAGCATGAGAAGAGGATGTCCTTGGAGGAGGAGAGAAGGTGCAAGGAGGAGCTAATGGTGTGTATGTCATCTTTGAAAACATTAAAAAGGAAAATCACAATTCTAAACACAAAAATTAAAAAAAAACGTTTGTCAACTAACATGAAAAATAATTTGACCCAAAAACTACAAGATTAAGCTTAAAACTACCCAAAGAAAATCCTAGTTTAAGATGTCGTGTATTATTTTATTGATTTGGTCCCGTTAATGTTAATTGTGTGATGTTTTCCGTTAAAAAATCCCTAGCTTGGCTCTGATCTTGTTAAAAATCCGCAAAAAGTCCGATGTCGACAGGGCACGCTTGCTTTGTAATGAATAGTGTACTCTACACTCAATGGTAAATGAGATTTCGAGGAAAAAATCCGCGGAATCAGCATTTTCTGGATATTTCTGGATATAGATAGTTTCTCTAACTTCCTTAAACTACCATAATATATCCCTTTTTGTACTATGTATAGCTCTTCTTAATGATACACAGGGTGTCTCATAAAGCATGACATTTATTATCTTAATAAATAAGCCTTTAATTGCTGTCGATGCGTCATTTTTTTTACATCAGAATTGTAAAAAAAAATCTCCATTTTCTAGAACGAGAAGCTTGAGATTAAGCAGAAATGGGCGAGTAGATTACTGGGAAAACTACGGAAAGATATTGCTCAGGAGTGCAGGGAAGATTTTGTTCTCTCCATAACAGGAAAGAAACCAGCAATGTGTGTTCTATCCAACCCGGATCAGAAAGGGAAAATGAGAAGGATAGACTGTCTCCGGCAGGCGGATAAGGTACCAAAGTTTTTTTGGGAGTTATTTTAATTTTTGTTTTTCTTAATGATTCTTCAATCAAGAAAAGTTGAAAATATAAAACAAAAATTATTCAGGTTTGGCGACTGGACTTGGTTCAAGTGATCCTGTTTAAGGCAGTACCCCTGGAGAGTACGGATGGAGAAAGGTTGGAGAAATCTCCGGATTGTCTCCATCCGTCCCTGTGTGTCAACCCGTACCATATAAACGTCTCCGTCAGAGAACTGGATCTATTTCTTGCTAACTTTGTCAATACTCACGGTAATAAAGGGGTAAATTTATTTCAAAAATAGCCCCCCCCCCCTCTTTCTAAAATTAATTATTACCAAATGTGGTTTCTCTTGAGGAGACTTTCGCATTTTCTGTAAATTAATAGTTTGAAATATCTAAGGTCTACGACATTGGGTTGTCAAGATATAGGGATAAGAATATTTGAATTTGTAGCAAAAACTCAGTCCCTTTGTCTTGGCTATCTGTCTCTTTGTTTCTATCTAATAAAGGACAAAACGGCTGAACCGACCGGGTCAACATTTTTTTGTGACAACTCACCCCATGACAGGTTATGTCTGGTCGAATTTGAACAATTTTGCCCGAAAAAAAAACTAATTTTGAAAGTTTATTATTTTAACAGAAAAGACCTGAGGCCGATTTAAAAGAATTTGAGCTGTGGCTTAAATTTGAGACGCGGCTCAAATATGGTTGGTTCCACCTAAAATTGTATTCAATGTTTCAAGATCTAAGCCGGCGTTCAATTGAAACCGGTTTTTGGTGGATTTGAGACGCGGCTCAAATTCATTAAATTCGGACTTAGTCTAATTAGAGAACGAGGAAAAATTGGGGATATCAGTTATAATCTAAAATTGTTAAATGTAAGCGGTCAAAAATTATTATTTATGTTAGGTTAAACAAATGAATGACGAAGTGTGTAAAAGGACTAAAATATTTAAACAAAATATTTTAAAAGTTTAATTCAAAAGTTGTTACTTTTAAACCTTTCTATAGATTAAAGAGAAAATTCAATATACGATTTTAAACTAATTTAAAATATTGAAACATTTGCTCTATATTGGTCAAGTTTATTTAATCAGTTTTCCCCCTATATGTTCCTTCCCGCCCCATTTCTCCCGTACTTCCGGAACAGCAGATCTATTTCCGGGTACACGGCATACAAGCAACACAGAGGACGGAGGTTTACAGATACTCTGTTATCTTTATACTCTTTGAATTCTGTCAAATAGACAAAGTTTTAAATATCAAAGGTTAACACCACCAGGTTGGAAAGATGAAAGGATTACAAAATCAGAGCTAGCGGCAAGTGTTCCTTTCTTTAACTTTTAATTTGAGTTTTTGCCAAAAACTCAAATTTTCTAATCCCTACAATCTACATGTTTGCAACCTGTTGTCATAGACCTTAAATATGTCAAACTATGAATTAATATGTTAAAAATAGTCTAAGGTTAAAGGTTGGAACAATAAAGTTATTTAAACCCCCCCCCCCCCCCCAGACTTAAAAGATATAGGGATTGGAAAATTTGAATTTGAATTGTTTCGTTCCTTAAACTTAACTCTTAAAAGAAACTGAGTTTTTCCCTAAAACTCAGATTTTCTATTCCCTCCATGTTTTAACCTGTTGTCGTAGACCTTTAAAACTATGAATTATGTTAAATGAAATAGTCTGAAGTTGGAAAGTTAGAACATTACATGTTTTTACCGCCAGATTTCAAAAATTTAGGGAGTGGAAAACTTGAATTTGTTCTGTTCCTTGAACTTAAATCTATGAACTGAATTTTTGCCACAATCAATGAATCAATTCCTTTTTATTTTAGGTCGTCTTTTTACCACAATCAATTAGTTAATTCCTTTTTTTAGGTCGTCTTTTCACCACAATCAATTAATCAATTCCTTTTTATTTTAGGTTGTCTTTTTACCACAATCAATTAGTCAATTCCTTTTATTCTAGGTCGTCTTTTTTACCACAATCAATAAATCAATTCCTTTTTATTTTAGGTCGTCTTTTCACCAAAATCGATTAATCAATTCCTTTTATTTTTAGGTCGTCTTTTCACCACAATCAATTAATCAATTCCTTTTATTTTAGGTCGTCTTTTTACATCAATCAATTAATCAATTCCTTTTAATTTAGGTCCTCTTTTTACCACAATCAATTGATCAATTCCTTTTTATTTTAGGTCGTCTTTGTGAAGCTGAGCAAGAAGAGGATTCAGCCCTCAACCTGAAAGGAGGTGATCACAAAACATTTCATTTTTCTTCTGATCGAAAATTATTTGTCCATTAATTTTCAAAAGATAAAACGTTCAAGTATGATTGAAAAATCAAATAAAATTAATTGATCTCATGATTTTAATAATCTTGGTATATATGAATATCAGTCTTTTGTATTTAACTTTTTCGATCTTTCGATTTTGAAATATAATGTTTTAAAAATCATATGATCACACATGAACACATTATATATTATTATTATTTATAAGATAATCCAATACTGATCATTTTCATTCATAAAATAATCCTGTTGAAAAACGATCATCATTGATCATTATAATCAATCAACCAATTTGATTTAGCTATTAATTTCCATTGATCCACTGAAGATGACTGTTCTAATATTTTAGTTGATTTAATTATTTTAATTGATCTAATATGTCTAATTGATCAAAACAATTGATCCGTATTTCTTGACGTTGTAAAGTGAAAACGTTAAGGTTATCCTCCACACAACCCATACAACGGTGTACTTTGCAACGATACTATTACAGCCACTGGAGTTTTCTCTCCTCAGGAATTATGGAGATATTCTAAAGGAAAAGGTTAGAAAACTTTTTTATTTTTTCTTCACATTTCTCCTTTCAAATCTATATTATTGCATGTGTGTATGTATTTAAATACAGTGAATCCCAGATAAATGAATACATAGCAAGAGTTTTTTTTTATAATGCATGTCGTATTAAATATTTCAGATTAAATGACGCGGAAAAATGCGTTTAATATTAATATATCAATTGCATTCATATTTCAGGGCTATTAATTTACCTTGAATTAAAAATGAAAAGAATTTTTTTTAGAATTATCAAAAAACTTATGACGGTCTATGTATTCATATATCTGGGATTCACTGCAAGTTCTTGCTTGTCTCTATCTTTCTTCCTTCAGGTTTTAAGGATTGTTCATAGAGTTGCGCACTCGATTTACCATGGTACCCTTGAAAGCTTTATAAGATCAATTATTAAGATATCCATCATTTTCAATTTAAAAAATTGATTTTAACCCCACACAAATGTTTCTTTCTCTGTTGGGAATGAGGTGTAAAAATTTTACATGCCAAAAAAATGTACAGCTCTTGAAAAACCGGTTTCTTGGAGCTTTGTGGAATCTGAACCTTTTTAGGTTCCGAGCTTTCAAGTTCTCCAGGGGGTATAAAGATGGAGTCCCCGTACTACTCCTCATATACCCCTCCACACGGGGAGTCCTCCCTCAATCAATCTAACAACTATAATGGTAATAATATCTTTCTCAAAAACTGAATACTTTTCACAAATTCTTATTTTCAAATCCTTACATCTAATGGCATCAAATTTTTCAATTACTAGATCAAATAGTTAAATTTTGGAATATTAAACATAAGATTTCAAAGATATAAGGACTAGAAAATTACAATTTTAGACAAGTGTTCAGTTCTTTTATCACATCATGAAAGATGTTTACATTATGGTAAACTTGTTTGTTTCTATTTTTTCAAAACTAACACCTTCGCATGTTTGCTTCATCTCATCTTTATAACTTTATAATTTTAAGATAGAATTATAAAATAAATCTTGTACCATATACAACTTAAACATTGTTTTTATGCTACTAGTTCTTTCATATCTTAAAGGGACAGTAAAGGAAAAATGAAAGGGGGTATAGACTGAAAGCTAATCACTTTAGCTCTCGATCGTGACCCATGAAAGTTTTATCTGATGTTCCTATCTCGAGAAATTGATTTACAACTGTGTAAAATTTATACGAAAATTAATATATATACAATTTTGTATAAAAGTAGTGGGTTTAAATAGATCAAATTCAAGTCGCGATCAAGAGCTAAAGTGATTAGCTTTCAGCCTATACCCCCTTTCATTTTTCCTTTACTGTCCCTTTAACCCAGAATGTTTTTGCAATACACAAAATCAAGTTTAAGAATAACATATTTCCCCATTTTTTTTTATTTCCCAATCTTCCTCCAAAAAAAAAATTGGTTTGATTAATATTCAAAACAACATTTAAAACAATCCATTTCATAAAATAAAATTTGCGTAAAGTGATATTCATTATAAGCGGAATTTATTCTTAATTGATTGAAGACGTTAAAGTCGTCTTCAACCTTGGAAATCGTTTGCGGTATTCATTTGGCAACCTTCTTTTTAAAAAATTGGTCATAAAAAAAATCACAAAAGAGCACTAGTCCTGCCATTTCCAAAACGTGGTCTGCCATTTTGTAGTTTTAAAATATATTAGATACAGGGTGTCCCAAAAAACATGGGAATTCAGTGACGAATTCGATATCGTCTTTGTTATGAATTAGCATTGTAATACCTAATTTCAAAAGCCATATTATTTTATGAAAAGGGTAAAAGACTGCAAAGATGTGTCTATAATGTCTCCGCAAGTTGAACAGTGAAGACGGAAAAGTTTACTCTGTTTGTGTACTGCAATTTTCTTGTTTTACTAAGTATACAACCATATGCATGCAGTCAAAACATAAACAAACAAAATATGAACATAGCAGAAAAAACACTTACAGATTACAATTTCTCAGTAGGTATCACTATACTAAATCAAAGAATCTAATTCGTCACTGAATTCTCATGTTTATTGGGACACCCTGTACAATCAGGAAATTGTCTAATTTTGAGCAAAATCATATATCCGGTAATTATGAAGGAACAGAAAAGGCGGACACCATTTTGAAATGTCATTTTAGATACAAGTTCATTTCGCAAAATAATTATCTGAAAATAGACCATTAGGTTAAAAAATCAAAGTTAATTTTAAAAACCAAGCTAATTAAAATCTTTTAGGAACCTTAACTCTTTCTGGTCGGAGCCAGAGTCCTAACTGTGTATCCGTTATCCTTCCTGAATCCCAGTTTAGAGTGAAGAGAATGAGAAGAATGAGTTCAGAAACTGAGGAGGTCGGAGAATGCAAGGTAGTACAAATCCTAATATTTGGGTTTTAAAGGGACTGTAAGCGTAATTTCAAGTGACCCTCCATGCAAAATGCCCGATTTACAACGGTACTCTTAAACGTTTTGTTTTATCAAGTATGAATTAGATATCGAGGTTGCTCTGCATAAGGGACTTTTATTTTTTATTGCTGATAAGAAGCACGGGAGAAATGATCAAAATTAAACACTTTTTGGCGGCTTTAGCGTTACCGTTTTAAATCAAGCATTGCCATGGAGGGTCACTTAAAATTACGCTTACAGTCTCTTTAATAAACGAATATCCAAAATCATTTCAAGACAACAAACACTTTCCTCAAAATTACAAAATTTTTAAACAAAAATATCGAAATAATTTTTGTAGTTCAATATTAGGCATAAATTGTTAAAGCATTTTATCTCAAAGCGCAACGAACTTCATAGCCCAAACAACAAAATATGTTCAATTTTTTTCTGAAGCTTTTGCCTTTGTTTATATGTATATGTTATATCTTTAAAAATCACAACCTCCAACTTACCTTTTTGGTATTGACCCGTTTAACAAAAGAAGGTTGCTGATTAATGAAAATGTTACGTTCTAGGAGCAGGATATTTATTACACTGCCCAGTCCCCAACCAACTGGTCACAATCAGAACTAGATCATGCCGCAAGTATAGGTATTCAAACACGTGCTGTATCCTGTTTTTTGTTTTTAGATAAGCTTTAATTATGACTTAACAAAGCTTGCTTTCTACACACGGAGGCGCAACTAGAGAGGGGGGCACACCAGCCCAAGATGCGGTGCCCCCTGGGGATTTAAAAAGAAATGAATTTACAGATGTAAAACTACACATGATTAAAATAAAGATAAAAAAGCAAGGATTTCAATTGTAATATTTTTCGCCTTAGCCCCTTTGCTGGAATACCCTAATTGCTCCGCTGTTTACACATCATCCTGTAAATAATAAAGTAAAGTAACAATTGTGAGCAGCGCTATGGATCCCTACCATTTTTGCATCCTATATCCGGATCCGAGGAGCAAACCTGCTGAAAATTAACTTTTACTCTCAAAACACCAATTTCCGCTCTCAACTAATGAGCTAGTGTTAAAAATTTTATAATCTCTGAATGGTTCATCAAGTTTCAGCATTAAAATAAGCAACAACAAAAGAAAAAATTGAAAAATTAGATGAAATGTTCATGATATGAATCCCGGGCGGATCAATATCCGGATCTGGATCCGCAACAAAATGAAATGGAGCCTAAGCAATGTAAAGAATTAAAGATATTAACTTCTTGTGACTAACAACCTTGAACCTGTGACCTGGATGACAAGTCAGTAAACCTGTTACAGGGGATTGTGTAAAGATACGTGTGGAGGCTGACCCTTATATTCAAAACAGGAAAGGTAGACATTCCTGGACTAACATTCCTGGGTAGATATAGTAGATAAACTAGCATTCCTGGACTAACATTCCTGAGTAGATATAGTAGATAAACTAACATTCCTGGACTAACATTCCTGGGTCGATATAGTAGATAAACTAACATTCCTGGGTAGATATAGTATATAAACTAACATTCCTGGACTAACATTCCTGGGTAGATATAGTAGATAAACTAACATTCATGGACTAACATTCCTGGGTAGATATAGTAGATAAACTAACATTCCTGGGTAGATATAGTAGATAAACTAACTTCCTGGGTAGATATAGTAGACAACCTAACATTTCTGAGTAGATATAGTAGACAAACTAACATTTCTGAGTAGATAAAGTAGACAAACTAACATTCCTAGGTAGATATAGTAGACAAACTAACATTCCTGGGTAGATATAGTAGACAAACTAACATTCCTGGGTAGGTATAGTAGACAAACCAACATTCCTGGGTAGATATAGTAGACAAACTAACACTTTAAAATTTTATAGCCAAAGTGGAACTAAACAATTTTTAAAAAATACAGAATGTGTCCATGCCTAAGTGGCCCAAAGGGTCAGGGAAATAGAAATAATAATGCCTCCTTGCCAAATGGCTGTATATTTTCCTGTATTAGACAGTAGCTTGCATGGTTTTGATATTTAATTTTTACAAAATAATCTCTTTCACAGATAAATGAAAACTATAATCACAAATGTTGTCTCAGGTCTTCAGACCACAACCTCTCTTGGTACGACCTACTACACCGCCCAAGAGGTTTCCACCCTGTCTTCTCCGAAGTATGAAAAATACGAAAACGGACAGGACAATTTCTCCGAGTTTGTGACGCTGGTTTGTCAGAGTCAGGACGGAAGTCCTCTGAGTAGTTCTGGGAGTAGGTCTCCTACTAAAGTAGTGAGCTACTACACTACGTCAGGGATGTATCCTCCTGCACCTGCTGCTCCAATGGCTAGACCTGTTCCTTTAAAGCTTCCAGGTAAATCATTTACTCAATGTTGCTACCTTTAGATATTTTTCACAAGATTTATATATAATTCTAAGCAGTTTTATTACAGGGGAAAGTTCCCAAATGGCTTGAATCAATCGATATGCTTAAGGGCTTAATTTAAGAAATTGCTACTTAAACATTGTAAATTTGGAAAGTTGCCATTTACGAAAATACCCCTAAAGTAAAAAACATCTAACCTTTTTAATATTTGTTTCTAGTCCATATTCTAGTTTTTCTTGTTTCTAGTCCATATTCTAGTTTTTCTTGTTTCTAGTCCATATTCTAGTTTTTCTTGTTTCTAGTCCATATTCTAGTTTTTCTTGTTTCTAGTCCATATTCTAGTTTTTCTTGTTTCTAGTCCATGTTCTAGTTTGGTTTTTTAGAGCATGGAAGTCCCTCCGAAGTAAGTATGCAGATCTCATCGGAGGACCCTGATTCTCCCCAGGGTGGACTCCGAGAGGTTTGTCTCTCGTCATCTGATGACTCCCTTCCTCGTACAGTTCTCTACACATACACAACATCAGGTAATCAATTTATTCAATTTTGAGAAAAAATTGATCCCGAATTTTTACTTAAAATTTTATGATCTTGGATATTAAAAGTTTCTTATTTGTTCCAAGGCAAAAAAGTAACATTTTAACCCTTATATATTTCGCGGATTTTATTAAAAAAACGTACATTTTATGGAACTTGAATTTGATAAATTTATACATTGTGTTATCATTAGGGAAAATACTCTTTTTTAATCTATTTTTTAACAAAATTAAATTTTTCAATAATTTCAGGAGGTACTATTACAATCCCGGAGAACCTCTCTCCCACCAACCTCTCCATGGTCCAGCCTCAACGAATATCCTCCAACCGTCCTCTCCAGCAATCTATCTCTAGAAATCCAAACATATTCCTTTCCGACGTGGAGTCAAGCGCTATGGCATATGATCTGATGACTCCTATGCTGTCAGGTAGTTTTATTCATTGATTGTAATATTGTACTTTCAAACTATATAATTACATGACAGTGAGAGCCAGAAAATGACTTTTAGACTCAAGTTATGATAGTAATAGCATATTAAACTTGAGACACAGCAATTGTGCAGGATAAACATGCCCGTTCATTTAACAAGTGATTTAATAATTTACTAGTAAAACTATTTGCTAGCAAATTAAATGCAATACAAATTTTAAAGTTTTTTTTAAGGAAATACTTTTTATTTTAGGATCTTCTGTGGATTCTTCCAATGGACATACTTTACATTTATCCGATGGTAATAATCATAAACGCAATTTATAAAGAAACGGAGTTTTTGCCACAAACTCTGATTTTCGAATACATATAATTTTCTAACCAGATGTTGAAGACTTTTAGCACTTCAAACCATGAATTTTGTTAGTTAAAATGATCTAAGTTTAGAATTTAAAAGCTTTACACCATAAGGTTTCAAAGTTATTTGGATTAGAAAATTTGGGTTTGTGGCAAAAAAACTAAGTTTCTTTACAGAAATTTTTTCTTTCTTTTTTTGAATCAACATATTATTTGTTATACTTTTTGTTTGAGCCACCTCTACATTCTCTGTTACATAATACGGATTAAATGTTAGTTTTTAATTTTGAATGTTTTAAGCCATAAATTATCTTTTTTTAGATCGATATTTTTCAAGTCAGCTTGAACCTATGGATGCTACGGTTGGGAGTATGCACAGTAATCCAGGATCTCCAAACCAAAAATAATAAAAAAAATTTTAGACTGCAGTGATCAAAATTTTCCAATTAGATAATTACAATTAGAGTTTGTATTAATCCGGCGATAAAATAGTGAGCGGATCAAATATTTTTGTAAAAAAAATTATTTTAAACTTTTTTCCTGTTTTGAATCTTAATAATGCTTTTTTTCAAAAGTATATGACAGTTTCCAAAGCAACAAGTATCTCAATCCAAAATTCTAAAAAGTAAAATTATGATTTTTATTGATTTTTTTAAAACAATTAGTTGAATTGGCATTGGAATTTTAACAGAAACAAAAGTTCAAATGTATGCAAACTTAAAGTTTTCATTATTAAATTGGATTCTACAATAACATATCATAAAGTGACCATTTTATCTTAATAGTAGTATTTACAAAATATATAAATGCTTTACTTAAGGCATGCATATTGCATAATGTATACAGCATATTAAAAAGCCAAAACAACAATTTTATCAGTACACTTTCATAAATTGCATTATCAAAAAAAATTAATTAGTTGTTCTCTTAGAAACTTGAAATTAAAAATTGAATTCAAATTCGAATTCGAATTTGAATTTTTATTATGTTAAAACTTTTGTTAAACATTTAGTAGTAGTTAAACAAAGTCTAGTCTTCTTCCATTTATAATAATTGTATTTTACGTTGTATGCACGCAGAATTTTATAAGTATTATTATAGTTAGATGAAAATATAATCATCATTAGATGTAGTTTTTTTTATGCGATAAAATCAATTTACAATATAAAAAGGTGTACTTTATCTTAAATTAGTGTTTTTATGAACAAAGAAGTTTTTCTTTCAAAGGTAAGAAAGTGTTCTAAATTGACATTCAATACTAAATTAACTTTATTTATCTGTGATGCACTCGATGCACTTGATAAACCCCTGTGCACGGGGTCACATCAATAATCTTGCACTAGATCACGCCCACGTGACAAAAACAGCTGAAAACGGCTGAAACCGCCATGATGAATTGTTTTTAGACCGAGCGGGGCCAGCCGTACATTACTGTAAAATTACACGCTAGAGTTCACCACCTTTGATAGATTTTCATTTCACACATTTTAGCATAATATTCAATCTTAAAACTGGGTCGAAGCGAGCCCTGATTTAGGGTCGGATGGTTTAAAAGAGGATTGGTTTAATAATATAACATTATCCTGCGCTATCTAAACATATCAAAACTCTCATCTACCTCCTACACAGCCTTAGCTTAATGGCCATTCTTTATAGATGTCTAGTAAACAATATCTAGGTTCTCTAGTTCCTAGTTTCACTGTATCTAGGTTTTCTAGTTCCTAGTTTCACTGTATCTAGGTTCTCTTGTTCCTAGTTTAATTGTATCTAGGTTCCTTGGTTCTAGTTTAACTGTATCCTAGTTCTCTTGTTTCTAGTTTAACTGTATCCAGGTTCTATGGTTCCTAGTTTAACTGCATCCAGGTACTATGGCTTTTAGTTTAACTGTATCTAGGTTCCTTTGTTCCTACTTTAACTGTATCTAGGAACTATGGTTTCTAGTTTAATTGTATCCAGGTTCACTAGCTCCTAGTTTAACTGTATCCAGGTTCCACATGGTTTCTAGTTTGACTGTATCCAGGTTCTCTAGTTCCTAGTTTAACTGTATCTAGGTTCTATGGTTCCTAGTTTAACTGTATCCAGGTTTTTAGTTTAACTGTATTTAGGTTCCTTGGTTCTTAGTTTAATTGTATCTAGGCTCTATGGCTTCTAGTTTAACTGTTTTCAGGTTCTCTAGCTCCTAGTTTAACTGTATCTAGGTTCTCTAGTTCCTAGTTTAACTGTATCCAGGTTCTCTTGTTTCTAGTTTAACTTTATCCAGGTTTTATGGTTCCTAGTTTAACTGTATCCAGGTTGTATGGTTCCTAGTTTAAATCAACAGATTTTCAAGTTAATCATTAACAGTCTTCTGATTTTTGTTTTTTATCCTTCAAAGAATTTTATATTTTTAAGATATACTTTTCCTATTCTTCTAAATCCTTTCAAACATTTTTTCATTCTTTAAAATTGTATAAACCCTCTTAAAGGTCTCATGTAATCAGGGGCGTATGCAGGAATTTGTCAGGGATAGAGGGGGGCTAAGCTTTCTTGGCATTTTAGACTCCAATGGGGGCCGAATGGGGGGGGGGTTATAATTTCCAATGTATATGCCCCTGCTAGTAATTTTACCAATACTATAACTATAATATAAATATTATTCCAAAACAGTTTAGTTTAGTCCTTTTAATCCAATTTGATGAAAAATGTATTTGATGTTTGAATAAATGAGATGGGGCCGAGGGGTGATAAAAAAATGTATTATAGCTAGCTATGGGGTATAGTTAGACAGCGATGTATGAGAAAACAAGTATTGGCATGTGTTCTGCCTTAGGACATAGTTATAGATAGATAGACATAAACAATATAGAAGATTATACCTAGGGTATCATACACGCCGCATTGAGAATATCAAAAGGTTTCAAATATAACTAATTGGTTGTTATAACAAAAAAATGAAAATTCTTCATCTGCTTCTTTTACGAAGAGCTCTGAAATTGGTATCCTACATTTATGAGAGAGAAAAACTACCTCATTGTGGGATTAAACACTATAAAAATCATGTTTGTTTACAAACAAGAGAGGCACCGTGGGTTGGTTGAAAAAAATCTAATAACATGTCTAATAGCGCCTTAGAGAAATGAAACATCTAGTGTTGGTCCTAAAACCTCTCCTTGCGGTGCACCACTCTCCGTCAAAATTCTTTTCTTTCCACTCAAACTTTTAAACCCAGATAGAGTATCCAGGCCTAATATTAAACATGGGGAGAGATTAGGTTGATTTACTTCTTATCTCCTGCTCAGTATCAAGCTAAGGGTTGGACGTGGGCAGTGTTTAAGGTGTTTGATCTCTCCTGTAATATTTGATAATCTGGAGTTCTTGCGTAGCTCAGGTGTCAACTAGGGTTCATTCCGATCCATCCTGACTCAACCTACACCGGTAATTAGGAGAGATGGATCTGGGTCCTAAATACTCAATTGTATTTATTAGGAATGAAAGATGTAGGTCCCAAATTTGAAGACAAACTGAAACGATAGATTAGAAACTAACACAAGATGAATTATTTCAATATCTAGATATGAAAACAAACGAAATCAAAAAAGGACTTCAGCATAGAAAGAATAGATAGATACAAAAATATAATGATAGATGACGAACAGATAGAAAGAGAAAGGGATAGATGACAAATAGATTTAAAGAGGAACAGTTAGAACAGATGGAAAGAGGAAAGGATAAAATGTGTAGATAGAAAGCGAAAAGGAACGAAAGGATGGATACAGATTTAATGATGATAGTTAAAAAGATGGAGAGAGGAAAGAATGGAACGAATAGCTACCTTGATTGAGAGATGGAAAGGATCAGGCGCGTATTCAGGATTTTAACCAGATTTTGCCCCCCTGGCTGGTTTTAGCCCCCCCCCCCTGGAATTGTTTTGTTCAAAAAGTCAATTATCACCATAACAATACACCAAAAAGACTACATTTTTGGGTGTTACTAACCTTATAGAGTCTAAAAATTATTTCTTTGCTCGAAAAACTAACTTTAACCTTTTAACTTTAATAATTTATCTAAAATTTTAACTAAATTAATAATCACAACAGCATTTAAAAATTATATTTTCACTATCTCTTTTAAGTTTAAATTTTCTGGGATTTGCTTGCACAAACATTTCAATAATTTTCTCATGTAGAGAGCTCAGACAGCCTTGTAGGGTGTAAGGCCATAAGTGCAAGTTCGTTAAGTCTGCTAAGTAAGACGACATCTATATAATTTAGTTTAAAGTATCTTGAAATTTTGTATTAACAGTGAATTTAGACAAATCCTTAGTCTTTGTCATTGTCATGTGTTACTTTTTAAACGTAGTTTCCTTTTAATTTTGTATTTTCCAGGGGGGGGGGCAAGAGGACTACTTCCCCCCTGAATACGCCATTGGAAAGGATGAAACATATATATAGAAAGATAAAGAGATGGAAAGGACGGAACGGATAGATAGGAAGATAGAGAGAGGAAAGGATGGAACGGATATATAGAAAAATAGAGGAAAGGATGGAACGGATAGATTGGAAGATAGAGAGAGGAAAGGATGGAACGGATATATAGAAAGATAGAGGAATGGATGGAACGGATAGATAAAAAGATAAAGAGATGGAAAGGATAGAATGGATAGATAGGAAGATAGAGAGAGGAAAGGATGGAACGGATACATAGAAAGATAGAGGAAAGGATGGAACGGATAGATAGAAAGATAAAGAGATGGAAAGGATAGAATGGATAGATAGGAAGATAGAGAGAGGAAAGGATGGAACGGATATATAGAAAGATAGAGGAAAGGATGGAACGGATAGATAGATACATAGATAGATAGATATATACATAAATAGATAGATAGATAGAGAAAGAAAAGGATGGAACGGATATGAATTGATAATGACTTGAGAACAGACTGTATTTCTGCAGTTAGGATGCTAAAGCAAGAGATACATCTGGTAGAGATGAATATTATTAATATAGATACAGCGCTAACCCCTCCGGTCCATACTGCCATACAAATATATTCACAAACCTACTAACGTAAGGTTTTAAAGTAACCTTCCATGCTCGATTCACAACAGTACGTTTTATTTTGCACTCGAAATTACATCTGAGGTTTCTTTATGCGAAAAAGTTGAAACAAATCAAATTTTGAAAAATTATCTTGGCTCGTCTGATATCAAATACTTCATTCAAATCGAAGATACAAAGACTTTTAGTTTTAAAGGTTTAAAAACTTCGAATCAAGGAATACATAACATAACTATTTTTAACACTGTTATTTTGGTTCGCAGTGTTTTAAAGTTTAAGTCCAAAAACGTTATAGCACGTCGTGCCGAAATAATAATGTTAAAGATAATGTTATGAAACGTTTGTGTACTTGTCTCATTTTAATGGCTGTTTCAAGATCAAATAAGCCTTGAAACAAAGCAGAAGTCGAAAGGAACTGGGGTTTAGCCAAAAATTCTGATTTTCAAATCGCTATTTCTTTACAACATGATGGTTTTAGCCTATAATATTTCAAACTATCATTATTTGATCTAAAATAATTCATAGTTTGAAATATCTTAGGTCTCCGACATTGAAATGCAAAGATATAGGGATAAGAAAATCAGAGTTTGTGACAAAAAACTCAATTCCTTTAAATTTGATTTCAATTTTATTTTCATTTCAATTGAAAAAAATATTTTGTAAATATCCTAAATTTTTTGGAGAAAATCCGGGAA